CGCAATCCGAGCATGATCGAAGTGGCGTACATCAGCGATTTGATATTCCGTGAACTGGACACACTTGATTCAAGTGAGTCGCTTTTCCATACTTTTTGCATTCCGATTAGGAACCTTGAAATATTCTTCACTAACAGTGTTCCCAGATGGTTCCCTTTGTTGTTAGGGTTCATATTCTAACTTTACATAATGCTTACTCAATCGCACAAATTACGTTGTGTATATTGCCATTCCTTTGCAATTTGGTAGAGACAGTCATTGAAGAAATAAATTCAAGTCCCATGTGCTTATCTGGTACCATAGATAATTTTTACAAGTCTACACACATTCAGACCGGGATGAAAGCATATGGGCATTCATATGCTACGGGTGTATGTGCGTCTTCAAATCCACTTTTTGTGACTGATCACCACGAAAGACAGGTTGCGGTCGCATTTCTTACCACCTATATCTTGGTGCAGTAAACATTGTTGTTCATCCGGGTGTTAGTACATAGAAGATGCTGTTTGTTTTGGTGTGTGTGCCCAACAGACAGTAGCTGTTCTCTCATTCCGATTGTATACCAAATATTGATCATTTCGATGAGCATCACATCAGCCATGACCTGAATAGCAAATTTCATGATTTCCACTCATGCAACGGTACCACCTACCGCGCTAACAACACAACTGACTAGATAACTGGATGGAAATATCCCTGGAAAGATTTTTTTCGGGGGGGGGGGCAGGACGATGTATACAAGCACACGCACTGAGCTACACTTGCAATAGTTCGAAATCGGTTGTCTACCTGCAAAAAGTGATTACCAATCAGGATATTGCATCGATTTTTTTCCCAACGAAAGGGTACTATATCATTTAGAACAACTCGGATAGCTTGATCTGAACGTGTATCCGCAGCAGGGGGTGGGGGGGGAGGAGTCACGTTCGTACATGCCCCGACTCAGACGCTCATTGGATGAGTCGACATGAACTGCTCTCAATTGCAAACACATGGAATCAGATAGTTGAGAATACGCTGTTTGGTACCAGAAACTTTGTGCAGGTTAGAACAGGAATTTACCCGGAGGATCACATTAAAGGGGAGTGTGATAGATAGGCAACTGAACATTCGTGTGTCCGGTGATTATGTGAACCAGAACCGAGAGCAAAGTGGTCCGAAGATTGCATGATGGTGGAAGTTGTGAACTGAACAACCGGTCTCAATCTCGTATGGTTACTTCATTGTGCCAATTCAGTTC